CCTGCATGAAGCTGTCATGAAGCTGTCATGAATCCTGCATGTACATGTCGTTGTTCAGCAGCCTGGCCATGCTCTGCCAATCTTGGAACTTTCAATGGACTAGAATCAATGGTCTGCCATGTTGTTTGGTAAAATTGCGACTGTGCCTTTTTATTTGTTGTACTTGGGCTTGTCAGCCTCAGCAGCCAGGAGCTGCCTAAGTGAGGAAAATCCTCTCACTTCAGTGGGCCAGGAACTGGAGGTAGAGCTGAAGCTCAAGGCTGAGGGGCTTTCACCCAGCCCCTATAGCCTGGCATTTTGAACTTGGACTTAGAGCCCCCAAACTGTAAGATAATAAAGTCCTGTTTGTTCAAGCCATCCCATTTGTGGTACTTCTGTTAGAACAGCACTAGGTAACTAGAACAAACCCCCACAACAAAGAATGATCTGGCCAAAACTCAATGGTATGAGGTTAAGAAATCCTGCTCTGTAACATTACCAGCATCTCATTTTATATAATGATTTTTAACAAAGAAGCCAATGCAATTCAATTGGAGAAGGGAAAATCTTTTTGGCAAATAGTCTGGAAAAACTGTATATTAATATGGGAAAAAAGTGTACTTCAACTCTTCCCTCACATCACATAAAAACATCAGCTCAAACCGTCTAATAGCCACTGACATTAAGTTGATTCTGACTCATTGAGACTCTTTAGAGTAGAGTAGAACTGCCACATAGGGTTTGTAAGATTTTAAATCTTTACAGAAATGAACTGCCTCATCTTTCTCCCACAGAGTGGCTGGTGGGTTTAAATCACTGACCTTTTGGTTAGCAGCCAAATGCTTTAACCACTGCACCACCAGAGTTCCTTAAAACCACAAACTAGATAAACTTAAAAGCTGAAGCCATAGAACTTCTAAAAGAAAGCTTAGAAGAAAAATCTTTGCTATGTTGGAGTTGCAAAGCTTTCTTAGGACATAAAAATCATGAACTATAAAAGATAAATTGTAAAATTAGATTTCATCATAATTTAAACTGCTTTTTGAATTATGCCATAAAAAATAAAAATGCAAATCACAGACTGGGAGAAAATATTCACCATATATATACCTGAATAGTTAGGAGCCCTGGTGGAACAATAGTTAAGTGAAGGTTGGCTGACTTGAAGGCAACAGGTTTTATTCAGTATGTGTGTGTGTATATATATAAACACACACACACACACACACACACTTAAAATCAATAAGAAGACAACCCAGTTTGAAAATGGTCAAGAGACCTAAGTGGACACTTGATAAAAAAAGACATACAAATGGTCAATAAGGACATGAAAAGATGCTCAACATCATTAGTCATCAGAAAAATGTAAATTAAAAAACACCACAGCACAGTTCCTAGGAGAGCTAAAATTGAAAAGAGTAACAATATCAAGTTTTTTTTTTTTAATTTATTAAATATACTTATTTATTTATTTTTTTAATTAGGATTTGGGTGAAGATTTA